TGGCCTAAATTTATGTTAAATTAGGGGGAGGAGCAGCATTGTTTGTATATAAACTATCGATGAGAAATCACAAATTAGCCTTTAAACATATTGATTGTGAGTACTTGTGGATTTTATTGGAGCGCCTCGGCAAAACACATGGAAAAATATTGTCTTCTTTATTACCTCAATTAGACATTTAAAGTGAAGGGGGGGCCTCCAGAGACATTGAAAAGGAACTATGAAAATTTGCATTTTGGCAAGATAATACTTAACTGTACTCAATCAATGAAAGTATTTTAATCTCGTTAAGGTGAATTGTTTTCATACTTTATTTAACTTCAAAGGAATTATTTCTCTTTAAAAAGTTTTATTTTAAAAAGTCAGTCTTCTAATATGCCATGTGAAGGAGGAAGAATCAATTATTGTACAATTCTATCTCTTCAGAAATTTATAGTTATAGCATTTGACATATTAGTCTAGAAAATAACACTTAGTCATCACGCTTTTTAAGGAGGCATGTGTAATTTGCATAAAGTGAAAGGAATGTTAAATGTGAAATTTCATGAGTTTTCCCAATTCCATCTGATATATCCCAAACGTCTGTGTGAGTGTAGAGCAATTTTATCAGCAAGATTCCTTGTGTCACTTCCCAGGCAACTTATATTCTCCACCTCTAGGCAACCAAGTTCTGGTTTCTTTTGCCATCAAGTAGCTCTGCTTGTTGTGGAAACTCATAAAAAATTGTTTAATATACTTTGCCCTCTTTTTAGTCTGGCTTCTTTCCATTAGCTTAGGTTTTTTTTTTTGGGGGGCGGGATTCATTCATGTTGTGTGTATCAGTAGTTTATTCCTTATAATTGTTAAGAATTGTTACATTGAATGTTTATATTTTCACCCATTTGGACATAGATATAAATTTGGGTTCACAGTTTTTTAACTGTTATGAATACAGCTGCTATGAAAATTATTGTTCACATTTTATATGTGTGGATTTTGCTCTTCTTGCTGTCCTAACCAATCAGCGTGTACATGGTCTGACAGATGTAATGGATCAGTATGCTCCCCTCTGGTATGTCTAGATGGCCCAGGCCTTTTGTATTATGTCATGACAAAGATGAGAGAATTAACGTAGTTCTGGGCAAAGCTACAAATGTATGTGTTTTGGCATTCCATTTGAATGCATACTATTTTTGCTTTCTGATTGGGTTAGAAAAGAATACACTCATCGGAGCAGTGAATACCTGGTACCCACGTGCACATTAGTCTTCTCCTGAGCAAGAAGCTAAATCAGGCACAGCAGCCTTGATCAGGATGCATTTTCAGTGAGCTGGAGGTCATTTCCAGTTCTTATTAACTGATTCCAAATATTGACAAGGAAGTATTCAGTCTTTCACCATTAAATACTGCTTTATATTCCACCTTTCATAATAAGAATGCTTTCTTGTATTCTAGTTTACTGATTTTTTTTAAATCAATGGGTGTCGAAAGCTGTAGATCTTTTTTTCCCACATTGTTTGAGATATAATTTGTGCTGCTTTATCTTATTAATAGGGAAAATTAATTGATAGAATTTGAACATTAAACCAAACTTTCATTCTTGGGGTAAATCCCTCTTAGACATAATCCTTTGTCCATTTTATATATTGTTGGATCAAATTTGTTCTCTTATTTAGGAATATTATTTCTCTATGTTTTTGGTTTTGTTTTCTATTACAGTTAGGGTACTTTGTTTCCTATCTAAGAAATCTTGGCCTATTTGCGGCTATTTTCTTCTGTGCTTTTTTTCAAGGAATTTTATACTTTTACAGTGGCATATATGATCCATTTCAGTTCTGTGCACCATGTGAGGTAAGAGTAAAGGTTTTGCTTGTTTTTTGTTTTAGTACAGGCATATAGTTTTTACTGCACCATTTGTTGAAAGACTATCTTATACCTATAAATTATTTTGACATGTACATATATCTTTGTCAAATTTGTTTAAGCTAATATATAATTAGTAAAATATATATAATATATATTCCATATAAATTTTAGCAATAGCTTGTCAATCTCTAACACATGCCTCCTAGAATTTTTTTAAAGATTTTTTTTATTTGTTCATGAGAGACACACAGAGAGAGAGGCAGAAACATAGGCAGAGGGAGGAGAAGCAGGCTCCATGCAAGGAGCCTGACATGGGACTCGATCCTGGCAATCCAGGATCATGCCCTGAGACAAAGGCAGACGCTGGACCTCTGAGCTACCCAGGTGTCCCTCCTCCTAGAATAGATAGATTACATTAAAGCTATATATAAATTTGGGGTAACTGACATCCCAATAATATAATTTCCCAAAACTGATCTTTTATGGGGTTTTTTGGTAGATTCATTGAATTTCCTATGTAATTATGTTGTCCACAAATAAATATCATTCATTCTCCTAAAGACTTTTATTTCTATGTCATAGAACAATACTGAACAGAAGTATGAGAGCCTAAGAAGGAGGCCTTAGGACTACAAGAAGATTTAGTCAGGAATAGCCAGCCATTCCCTCAGCTACTTCAATTCTTCCACACTGTTTTGTTTCTACACCATCCTATTGCTTCCAAAGGAATGACTGAGACAGAAATATTCAGCCAAGATCTTTCTGAATTCTTGATTCAGAGAAATTGTGAAAAATAATAAAATATCATTGTTTTAAGTGACTGAGTTTTGAGATGGTTTCTACACACTAATAGCTAAGCAGAACAACAACAACAAAAAGTTATTCCTGGAAATAGACTACTGTCTTAACAAATATCTAAAAATTCTGGCATGGGTTCTGGGGTTAAGAAGAAGGTTGTGAGAGGCTCAAAATGGAATAATAAAATATCTCGAGGAGAGTGTTAGTGGACACCTCATGAGCCTGAAGAAGATTTTCAGGGAGGGCTTAAAGGAATGCAAGGAGAACACTGGAATTGATGGAAGTATGTAGTCATAGAAATTTAACAACACTGTCAACTGCAGTAAATGTAGAAATTAGAAAATGCCTGGAAACTCGATTTGGTTAAGACTTCCAGCCAGAATATCAAAGATTTCACATAGCCTCTTCTTACTCCATATGATAAAATTCAAGAGGAGAGAGATGAGCTAAAGAATAACTTTTAAATAAAAAAAAAGAGCCATTATCTTCTGTATTTGAAAATAAGACTATTTCTCAGTCCATATATCTACAGCTAGAAAAACAAAGGAATAGCAATATCAGTGACAAAAACAAAAAATACAAAATGTTCTCACCTTAATAAATGCTTTAGAGGAATTTTTTAAATCTAGTTTGTACCTTACTAAGTCCTCCTGAAATTTTGAAATCATGTCTTACAGACTCTTTTCAAAGACCAAAGGATCCAAAAAATGCTTTATCTGTCCCATGTGTTGCACACAGATACTTTTAGGACTCTAAGCTCTGGTTGTTCTACAGCAGACTTTCAGAGAGCACAAAGTTAAGAAAAACATACTTGAGTATACTTGTATATGTGCCACTTTCTAATGCAGTGGCTTGTAAACCAAAACATAAGAAATCCACAGAGTTTTTAAAAGGATTAGGTCGACTTGATTGAAAATGTCAGAGAAAGTAAAAAATGCAAAGAAGCCCTTGGATCTTCAAATTACTGTAGGAAGGAGGCAAGCTGAGAAAACTACACAGTGACAAACACTATGGCAAATAATAATTCAGAGGGCAAAACAAACAGCCAAAAATGCAGAACCAAGAGCCCTGGAGAATAACATATGAAGGAACTGGCACCTATCTCCAGCTGGATTTCAGAATTGCTGTGGGCAAGTCCTCCTATGTGTCCTTTCCTGCTTCTGTGTATATATGGAAAATATATGGTGGTTTTCCTATTCCTGCCTCCTCACCATTGTGTGTTGGAGGTGGTGGTCAAAGAAATGAGATGTCAGCCATCCCTCAGCTGCCTCTGCAATACCTCCGCCCTACCCACTACCATTTAATCACCAGTCACTATCTGGGTATGACCTCGTGAGTTCTCTTGACCAGAACCACAAACTGAGCCCTTTCTGAATTCTTGATGCACAGAACCTGGGAGAGAAGAAAATATTTGGAGTCATTTTAAACCACCAAATTTCGATACTTTTCTGTGCAGATGTAGGTACCAAGAACCCCTAACCAGTTAAATTTTCATTTCAAATATTTTGGGTGTTATTTCTATAAGTTTCATCTGATTCTTTTTATATACTCTATTTCTCTCACCGTGTTTGTGTTTGTCCTTAGGTCTTTGAGCAGGTTTATAGCTATTTTAATATCCTGTGTTATTCTTCCATCATTTCTGTCATCTGCATCAGTTTTCATTGACTGATTATTCTCTGGGTTATGAGTTACATTTTCCTACTTCTTTGTGTATTTAATAATCTTTTGTTTGGGTAATGGGCACTGTAAGTTTTATTTTTTGAATTTTCTTTTTTTTTTTCCTCTCTACCCTTTAAAGATTCTTGAAGTTTGTTTTGACTAGCAGTTTATTTATTTGTTGCTGATTAATGTGTAAACCTTTAGCGGTCTCTCTTGAATGCCCGAGGTATTTATTTCTTTGCACTCTGGATGATCAGAATTTAAACATCTCTTATCTCAACATGTGATCATTTAGGAATTATTCAGGACCACTCTCTCCCCACCCAACACAGTACCCGTAGAAAACTAGTTTCATTCTAGCCATGCCATGCTTTGTGTTTAACAACAGATTCAAAGGAAGCTTTATGAAAATTTATGGAACTCTTGCGTTTAGCTATCTTCTATCTTTTGTATTTTGCCCCTCAAATTCCAGCCCCCTTTATGTGTGTGTCTGACTGAACACAGACAAGCTACTATTGTCTGTTTCCATGAGCTCTCCCTGCATCACAATATGGAAAGTGCCTCCTGAAGAAAGCTAGACTGATTTTAAGACTCTAGGTATTTTCCTTTTCTTAGGAATCATTCCTGTGCTGCCTATTTTCCAGTATCTGAAAACACACATTTCACATATTTTGTCCTATGTTCTCATTCCTTTAAAAAAAAATATGGAACACCTCATAAATTTGCATCCATTCTTGTGCAGGGGACATGCTAATCTTCTCTATATCATCCCAATTTTAGTATATGTGCTGCTGAAGGGAGCACCTATTTTCTTGTTCTTTATTGTAGGAGGCCCAGTTACTCTATCATGGTGGAAGTGATGGTCTCAAGTCTCCATAATCCTAATTTTTTAAATGTCTAAATTGTCACTCACTCTTTTCCTCCATGACATGTTCTAATTTTTTTTTTTAACTTTATCTTCCATGTGGTATATCAGCCTGGTCATTTTTCTAGTCTATCTAGTGTTTTCTTTAAAGATCACATTTTCCAAGCTTACTGCTACTGTTTTATTCTTGGCATTTCTTTTAAAATCCCCTTGTTATTTTATAGATTCTATTACTTTTTCTTTAGAAGTTTGAATCATAAAATCCTCATCATCTTTAAATTTTTAGCAATTCTCTTGTTTGTGTTATCTTCTGTTAATGGATTCTCATATGTTTTGTAGATTTTGCCTGTGGATGTCAAATCAGTAGGCATTTTCCTCTGTGAAAACCTATAATACATGTGTCTTAGATTAAGCAGCTGTCCTTATAGAACATTTTGAGTTTGTTTTAGCAAGGGTCATGTGGATCTGTTAAAGACTAGTTTTATGTAGTTTCTCAGTTTGAGTTTAATGAGTTAATTTTATTTGGGATTCAGTACTTCTACATGCATAATGCCTGGTTTTCTAATATCCTTATTATTTAAAAAAACTGTTTTTGTTTTGTTTTGTTTTGTTTTGTTTCCCAGTCAAGATTTGGGACTGATAATTTACCTTTTGGCTGTGCCCAATCTGTGTCTATGCCACTAGGGGCAAAGTTTTGTTCCTATTTTTGATGGGACAGCTTATGTCAGGATTTCTCTTTTGTCAGGGTCTCTGATATGTAAACAGAAAACCAAACAAACAAAATCTGTTATAGTGTTTCATCAAGAACAGGTCTGACTGCCTTATGTTCAATCGGTGACTAACCCTCAAATTGTATGTCCATGTCCAATATATTTAATGCAATATTTGTGTGTTAGAATTAAGAAGGAAGTTTTTTTTTTTTAAGATTTTATTTATTTATTCATGAGAGACAGAGAGAGAGAGAGAGGCAGAGACACAGGCAGAGGGAGAAGCAGGCTCCATGCAGGGAGCCCGATGTGGGACTCGATCCCGGGATTCTGGGATTATGACCTGAGCCAAAGGCAGACCTTAACCACTGAGCCACCCATGCATCCCAAGAAGGAAGTATTATCACATGACTTTAATCTGACATCCTGAGCAGTTGTAATATGAATATGCTATCTCTCTTTTTCTTTGTCAAAGAAAGTTAACATTTATGAATTCTGTTGGACAGTCTTTGATTATGTAGGTACTTTGATATATTGCATTAGTGATATATTAAATTAGACTCTTGTTTATGATTTTGAAATTGTTATATTTAAAAATATTTTAATCTTTTACCATATACCAGAAATTACCATAGATGTCCTGGGGAACATAAACAATGGAGCTCACCAGCCCCTCTGACCATGGGCAGCCTTCTGCAGGTCTCCTGCAGACACTCAAGAACTGGTTCCTTTAAATCTTAGTTGCCCTTTTAAACTGCTGCTAGTTTTTTTTTTTTTTTTTTCTATGCCCCAAGGCAGAGGAATCTGCTCCCAGTCTCTCATTAGTATTTCTCCCCACTGCAGTTAGCACTGTCTGGAGCTCGGGTTCCTGTGGTTAGTTACTTGTCTTCATCTCTTGCTGTTCCCATGTGGTTCCTCTACCATTTGGGGTGCAGATACTGTTCAGTAAATCCTCAGTTCTGCAGTAGGAATTGCTTTATATATAGGTGTCCATTTGGTGTCAGCATGGAAGAGGTGAGTCATGATCTTCTTGTGTCACCATCTTGGACTCTCTCCTGTTCATTAAATTATATATCTGCCCTATATTACATATATATTTGTGTGTGTGTGTGTTTGTATATATACACATATACAAAGAGATGACATTAAATTATATTATGGACTATAATACTTATGGATAATATGATTTATGGGTTTTGTTTCAATATATAGAAGTTGATGGAGCATCAATTTAAAAAGATTGACCATAAATTGGTCATTTTTAAGCCTGGATGATAACTACATAGGAATATATTATATTATTCTCTCTACTCTTTAAAGAATAAAAGATTTCCATTAAAATGTTTTAAATATATATATTTTTAAACTTTTTAAGCAGCATTAAAATTATGGCATTTTCATGAATTCTTTTATTACGTGAAGATATGTACTTTGCATTTAAAAATTTAAACTCACTATATATTGCTAAAGTTGTGCTACTTAAAGCAGAAAATTTCAAAATTGCATCTAAATAGAAAACAAAACTATTGAAAAGCTAATAAACCCTAAGTAGGAGCCTCATTACACAACAGGGCCTTATTATCAATTCCATTTATTGTTAACGACATACACTTGGAGCAATGGTTCTAACTGCAGCTTAATTTGAAGACAAAACAGCGAACTTCTTAGGCCTTTTTAGTTTCCTTTTGTAGTAAGTTTCTCATTGTGAAGTTTGAAAAAAATGCAAAGAATATTTTATTCTCGGAAATTAATTTTCACCTGGAATATATTCTTTGTGAACGAACAATATAGAAAGATACTTGAAGGGGGATGAAAAAGGTATGTGGAATGTATGTTGAATGCTTTCTCGAATGAATGTAGGATTACCTCCAGATTACACTAATATTAGAGACATAATATCATTTGTTACCTAAAAATGCCTTTTGGCACGCAGTGCAAGGTCCACAGCTGGGGCTTTTTAGCTTCTAATTGATATATTTAATGAAGCCATCCTCATGTATTGTTAGTTGTCCTTTTTAAAACAAAAGGTGTTTTTCCTGAAGGCTTGACTATCTTTTTGATATTTTTCAACTTCTTCAATCAGTTTTTTTTCAGGCAATACTGATCAAACAGAGAGCATTTTTGAAGCATGGATACTAACCTTCTATAGACCCATTTAAACGATGAAAAAAACGTGATATTGTATTCTCATTCTCCTAAGAATCGCTAGATTGGCTTTCAAGTAAACTAAACTACAGTTAAAAGAATCTTGCATTCTCTAAAGCAGACTGTTTGCACCCAGGGAAATTTTTATGTCTCTTGTGGTTGAAGGCACTTTTAATCTACTGTGGAACCAGCTTGAGTTATTAAAGAAGATTGTAAACCTTAGCTATTGGTCTATTCAAAGTCTGTTCCTCAGAACATCTTAGTGCACACTAAAGGACACGAAGTCTGGCTTCTTTTCTTTGATAGAGTATATTTCTACTACATCAAATACATATCTGTATCCTGGGCAAGGGAGTTACCCTGTATGCATGTCTCAATAGTCTATATACCCTGTCCACTAAAGGTCTTTCTTCTATACAGAAGAAGGGGAAGGAGTCAATTTTCTTTTATTTAATGGTGACCTTTATCAGTTTGCACTTTGGAAACTAATAAACAGCAGTAAGCTTTTGAATATTAAAATACTTATTCCTGAGTGGAGATAAGATATGGACTACTATATTTCTGGAGTAGAACCACTTAGCCTGAAGGTAATACATGTTTTTTTTTTTTTTCCTCATAAGAGAGAGTCACTTCCCTTTGATTTATAGTCCTCATAAGGAAGGTAATATATTTCATGATTAATTTTAACTCTTAATCATTTGCATATTGAATAAGAGATTCAGAAAAGACTGAGAAAATAACCATGTACCTTTACTTACATTTAATAATCAATAGGATTTATGTATTCAAAACATTTTTTATCATGCCTTTTTTAAAATGAATCTTGTGGAAATATATTAGCAAGATAGCTACCATTTTAGATCATCTTTTTATATTCTAAATTTATTTATTTATTTATTTATTTATTTATTTATTTATATTTATTTATTCATGAGAGACACAGAAAGAGAGGCAGAGACAACAGGCAGAGGGAGGGGAAGCAGGCTCCATGCAAGGAGCCTGATGAGGGACTCGATCCTGTTACCAAAATTTCGGGATCATGCCCTGAACCAAAGGCAGACACTCAACTGCTGAGCCACCCAGGCATCCTTATATTCTAAATTTAAAGACAGTATAGACACCTCTTTCTTCCTATGCCCCACTTCTACGGCCTGTTGTCTACTTCAACCACTGTAAAGTCAACTAGGTGAACAAAGACTTTAGTTTTGTTCAAATCCAATCTTTGTCTTCTCTGGGACCTATTTCCTGTACCTCCACAATTTGTGATGTCTGTGGGAAAAACCCGGTCTCATTTTATGAGCCATCCATACTTCAGGGGGCATTAACAACATCGTTGACCAATGGGGACAGGGAAACAGTGCAGTGTCTTCTTTATCCCAAGGGAAGGCAGATGTGAAGGTATTGCAATATCAACGTGAGCCACCTATACATGTAGCTAACCCAATAATGCATTCTACTGGCTTTCCTTCTCTTCTGTTTAACAGTGCCTGAGTGTTCCACCTCAAAATTTTGCTCCCTTAGACCATAATCCCAAATAAACCTTGTTTTAGACTTGGCTGATATAGATTTTTAATCTGGCACAGATTGCCTGAGGTCAAGTCCTAACTCTGTCTCATAGCAGTTATTACCTTAAAGTATTATTAACTTTTCTGAGCCTCTATTTGTAAAACAAGAGTTGTGTATACCACAGGCAATATTACAAAGATTAAAGTTATATAACATATGTAAATTATTTAGAATATGTTTTGCCTGTTGTAAGCACTATCGAAGCATGTGATTTTATTTTGTCTCATACATGTTATCTGAATTAAAAGTCTTTATTTTAGGAATTTTACATAATTATTACATACACAATTATTTTAGGAATTTCACACAAATATATGTAGCAGACTATATAATGACTTTTTTTTAACTTAATATAAATGCTACTCTATACACTCTGAGTTCACTATCTTTCATTAAAAAGTTGACTTTTAGTAAAATTCAATTATTGGAGCACCTGGGTGGCTCAGTCTGATAGGCGTTTGCCTTCAGCTCAGGTCATGATCCGAGGGTTTTGGAATGGAGCCCTGAGTCAGGTATCCCCT